TCTGTTCATAAATAATAATAAAAGAAGCTTTTTATGAGAAAAATGAAATTTTAAGACAGGAAAAAAAATCTGTATAGGTAATATTTAAATTTCTACAGCTGAGGATAATGCTTAGTGAACTTATAGTTAAATATAAAGTTGCAAATGCAAATCTACAATCCCAAACATGTACAGTTAAATTATTGTTATGTGTGCAGTTCAGTTACAGTTATGTGTACACACACACACACACACACACAAAAAGTTCTCTCAGATGTAGGAACTCTGAAGAACATAACTGGAAAGCACCAACACTTTAACCAACCTATAGTTTCAGAGGCCCTGGGTTAGGTTATTTATTGCTGGGAAGTTTTAAACTTCAATAAACACATGGATGGACACCGAGCATGATATGGCAGAATACAAAGACGAATAAATTATTTATTATTGAACTAAAAAAAAATTAGCACAAATGCTTGCTATTTGATTTAATTAAATTTGGGGTTTAATCCTAGTATCCGGTGCACTCGGGATTTGGCGACTTTTATGATGAGCAGTAAAAACGGGACGGGACATATACAATGAGTAGTAAACGGGTCATTCAAAGAATATATATAGTTATACATATTATATACTATGTATATAGTCAAAGTATATAATGTATAGTATATACATAGACGTTCTTTGGGTCATTTTTGGTGTTGGCGATAATTTTCAAAATCGCGCCAAGGCTGCACCGTATACTAGAATTTTACCAAATATGGCAGCCAAATTATTGTTGCAAATACAAGCAGCACTATAATCAGCACTTTTCTGTATTCACCTGCCTTGCTTTTTGGCATCTGTGAAAAAGAAGCCAAATACCGAAGATACCGAAGGATAGTGCCATCTGTGTATCTATAAACTATTCTTACAATGAGAATTTGTTTAAAATCAAAACACCTGTAAAAATAGGTGGCAGTTACATAATAGAGAAAAATCATACATTTTAAATATTTGGCTTATACTTTCAGATGCCCTTTTATACCTTAGAAATTTTTATATATTACATAAACTTAATATTCACCATATAAATGCATTACTCTGTAGAACATAAAATTACCATAGAATATATACAGGTACAGAACTAATTACATACAAGTATCAACATCTGAAATTTACAGTAAAGACTCAATTATTTTATTATATCAAAACAGATGAAGGTCTAGATGAACCATTTACTAGACATGCTTAAAATTCGATTCAACTTGCATTTTGGAAGTTCCATGACAGTATGTGCCAAAAATTGTGAGTAAAGTGCAGAATCGGCCACTTATATGGCATGCATCGATGTGTACATAGACAAAGTCAAGGGAGTGCGTGATTGCAGTAAATTTCGAATGACGGGGAAAAGATTTGTAAGGGCTTGTGGTGTGTGTTGGTTAGGAAGTACATTGCTTGTTTTGTGGTTTAGACGGTAGAATGGCTGAATATTGCACGATTAATTTGAATTTCTGTATGATTTGGAAAGAAAGGAGAAAAGTGCATTAATTGACTGGTGTGTAAAAGAAGTTTTACTTAGTAGCCATAAGTGTTCTGTTTGTAGGAAGGAAGTGTGTATGGTTGAACATCGGAGGATACTGGCACTATGTAGGATATTTTTTTTTTTTAATCTTATTTTGTGAATTTATGTGACTCCACCGAATATGAATTTTAGTTCAGATAATTTTAGGAAGTTTTTGGATGCTGTTAAGAAACTTTGTGTGCCACAGACTGAAGGACTCAAAAATTTCTAAATAAGGTAAGTGGATAGTTGCTTTTGTAGTGCTTAGATGCATAAGATGAATTTCCTTTTTATGTTATTTTATTGTTTGATTTAAAATGTACATTATTGAGATTATGTATTTTTTGGTTGATCTTTACAATATGGTAACTGGTAATTTGGCGACATTTTGGAGGCGATAAAGGTTACTACCTGGGACTTTGGTAATAATGTGAGCAGTACTCAATTCCGATTACGCATTATTTTGCGTGAGGGAAATGAGAGATCATGGGATATGTCATGTGATATTAATGGACGAATTACGGTTCTTTAATCGGAAAAGGGGGGAAATCGGGAAAAAATGTGGATATTTTGTATTTAGCTTTATTCTGTGTTGTGTGAAACAGTGTTGTTTAATTTTTGGATCCCATGGCCCTAAATAAAGTGAATTCGAAATGGGTATTTAGGCATTGTGATAGAGAGAAGTTTGCTTTTTATTTAGCGGAGGAAGTATGGAGGAAAAATTCGCACAAAAAATCTTTCAATAATTTTATTGAATGAATTAGAAAAGTGTATCCGCCACATAATCAAGATTCTGAAGAAGATTAGGTAAGTTAGTATTTTTAATTATTTGAGGATATTATTTTTATGCATTGTTCAAAATGTAAGGTGGAAAGGAATTTGGTATTATTGGGAAAATTGTTGTTAGCAATGATTTAGTTTAAAGTAATTAGGATTGTAAGGTAACTTTTTATTAATTTAATGTATGTGCTCATTTATATTTTAAGTAGTGTTTTTGAATTTAATTACATTTTAATGAAATGATAGTTATTTTGTGAATTTTATGTTTGTAGGAATTTGGTATACGTTTAAGTTGAAATAAACGTGCATGGAAATAATTTAAATATTTGATACTAAGTATTTGTAATGCTTGCAGTATGAATTCGTTGGTGACGTGTATAATGTAATAGATGATTTCGAGGTAAAAGTTTTTGGATATTTTATTTAATTTATATGTGGAATGTTCATATTTGTAAAAGGGTAAATACTTTTTCGCGATCAGGTAATTTCATATATGTTCTTTTTACCGGGGGATTTAAAGATTCATAAAATTTTCATGTATTTTCGTGAAATTTTTCTAATTTATGGGAAAAAAGCACTGTACATGGATATAGTGAAGAGTGTGTGCAATGCCATTTTTGTGCAATTCTGGGATGTTTTTTTAAGTAAAAATAAGTCGACGTGTACATGGTTCAGTGATATTTTAATTAAATGATAGTTATTTTGTGAATTTTATGTTTGTAGGAATTTGGTATACGTTTAAGTTGAAAATAAACGTGCATGGAAATAATTTAAATATTTGATACTAAGTATTCATAATGCTTGCGGTATGAATTCATTGGTGACGTGTATAATGTAATAGATGATTTAGAGGTAAAAGTTTTTGGATATTTTATTTATTTTATATGTGGAAATGTTCATATTTGTAAAGGGTAAATACTTTTTCGCGATCAGGTAATTTCATATATGTTCTTTTTACTGGGTTTAAAGATTGATGTGGTGTATTTAATTATGGCAAAGCACACTAGGGCTATCTGCCTAAGAGGACGGATGCCTTTCGTGGAGGACTTTCTAAGGGAAACTGGCTCGTATACACGTTACACATGGGGAAAACCACGAAAACACCCATGCAGCCAGCCCGTTCGCGGGATTTGAACCTCGGACCGAACTACCAGTGTTCAGCGACTTTACCGCTCGGCCGCTGGTGGGCGGTTTAAAGATTGAGAAAATTGTCATGTATTTTCGCGAAATTTTTCTAATTTATGAGAAAAAAGCAGTGTACATGGATATAGTAAAGAGTGTGCGCAATGCCATTTTTGTGCAATTCTGGGATGTTTTTTTAAGTAAAAATAAGTCGCCGTGTACATGGTTTATGTGTATGTGTTATTTTGAAAAACTCGTAAGGAGTATGGTATTGTGCACTTTTTCCCAATTTTGCAGTGAATATTTGTCATGATTAAGCAGTTTTGTTAGATAAAATTTCTAGCATAAGTGTAATTCGGCTAGTAGATTGTTGGAAGAAGTGTTCAGTAGATAAAAAGAAAAGAAACATGTCTGGCGGCGGGGGAAAAAAATAGAGGGTTGTTGTAGGAGAGTTGGTTGCCAAATTTTCGCCAAGTTACCATAATGTAAAGATCAACCTATTTTTTGTTTGGCTCTACTGTAGAATCGGGTGCTCCTTTGACTTTTTAAGTGAAAATAGATCTATGTGTACATGGATAAAGTCAAGGGAGTGCGGAATGCCAAGTTTGTGCAATTCTCTTATGTTTTTTTAGGTCGAAAAAGGTCGACGTGTAAATGGATCCCGAGTTTGTGCAATTCTTTCACTTGTTATTTTCAAGTTCATGCAGAATCAATGCGCGAATCAGTGGGTGATTATGCACTTTCCCCAAAAGTGTAACATATGGCATAGAAAAACCAAGGATAAAAATTCCCTTTTAGAAAAGAATGATTATTGTAATTACTTCAGGAAAGAATTTATCCCAAACTAAGACAACATTTGTATGACTAGGCAAATTTTTCATATGCAACATTTTCGATCGCCTGAAGGCTTATTGCAGAAAATGCGAAATATTCGACTATGGGAGTTGGGAAATCCCTCTTTCAGTTGGATCCTAACAGAGCCCACATCCTTGGCCAACCCACTTACATGGCACGTATGGATGTGTACATGGACAAAGTCAAGGCAGTGTGCAATGCCAAGTTTGTGCAATTCTGGAATGTTTTTTTAAATGAAAATAGGTCGATGTGTACATGGACACCGAGTTTGCAATTTTTTTACTTGTTATTTTCAAGTTGTTGATTTTGAGAAACGTGCGAAGCAGTGGGTGATTCTGCACTTTCCCAGTTTGTCGCCAAGGGTGTGGGCTCTCCTAGGATTTTACCCCCTCTTTCTGTAATGTCTCATGAGGAGGTTTTTCAGATTTCCAAATCATCTGGCACTTCTAAAACAAATGCTTTACTTGGGATTGTTGCCCAGTGGTATTCAAAACTTATGGCAGTGCGATCCCAATCAGAGCATCTACCCTTAATTATATATCATCAATTCAGATTATTAAAACTTTTATCCACCCTCCGACTTCAAACGGGATAGCGACTCATAGTTTGAAGTTGACTGCCATAGCCTATTCTATTTATGTATTTAAATACTGAAAAATTACTGAAATCACTAATGTTTATTAAATTTTTGGCAAGGAAAGCATTACTACTAATTACCTACCTTAGATTGCTTATGTTTTGGAATTCCAAAATTCTTAGTCTGGAAGTCACGCAAATTCCGCTCTTCAGGGTCGCCCTGTTTTTCTCCAGCCATAGCACTATTCAGGGATTTAGTTAATTTAAATTTTTAAAGTGATAGGAAAATTAATTACTTCCATATACACCAAGGTACTTGATATAGCCTAAAATTACAAATGTGTTGATAATCTCAAATGCAGTCGCACCGCTGATAAACACAACACACGTGCGTATGTTTGAAAGTTTTGCTTCTTTTGCGTTAACATGTTGCCAAATTCAAAGAGCTTAAATGAAAATGGTTTCCTGGCTATCCACTTCAGAAAGATCAGTATTGTTTCCGTGTTAGACATTGTTATCGTCTTTTTTGAAAATTAGTTTCATCTTACTTTTTGAGGTTAACAGATACATGAAGCTCTTAATTAGGGATCTATTCTTTCAAAAAACGTCTGCGAAAATTTCCCTTCTCGCCATCTAATCAGGAAAGGAACTACTTAACCTAATGTTTACATTTCCTGAACAATTTAAATGGAATTTACGTTTGATGATGAATTGGAGTGCCTTAAAGCGTGTTACAGCGCAGATGAATTGATATATTGGAATTGCAGTTTGTAATTTTATGTTTATTTTGTATAAAATGTATTTTAATAGGTTTGGGGATTTTAATGTTGGATTACATCGTAAAGGGAAGAGGAGGGGCTCGAAAAAGTGTTAACGAGTTTTAGTGAAATATTGCTTTATTCATTAATAAAAGATTAATATTTGAGGATCATATCTTTTTAATAATATGTGTAAATTTCGCTTAGTAAAAATGCATTAGTTATTTTATGAACGTAGTTCTTTTTGGAAAATCAGTAACAAAGAATTAACAGAAAAGGTACTTGACAAAAGTGTTTGCGCACTTTTAAGAATTTGCAGAAAAACCGCTGGAACCCGAAAATGAATTCGAATATAAAGTCTTATATAAAAACAAGGGGCACCCAATTGTAAACTTTTACCCTAAAAAGTTTTCTTTGAGCAGAGCACTCATGTAATCTAGCTGATCTGAATACTCAATACTCGTTGAACAGTTTTAAATGAAATTAAAGTAGAAAGTTTTTAGCAAATTTTGTAGAAATCTTTAAAACGCTCAAACATGGATTTTTTCACAAATTTTCTAACTTTAAATCGTTGCGGACAATCTCTTCTTATTTTATTTTAGATCTAAATTTTTTCTCGAAAGCCTTTTATCGCATACTACACCAAAGAATGGGGTAAAAGTATAGTTTAGGGTACCCCTTGGCGATTTTTGGCGGCACATGGATACCGATTTTGAGCAATTCGTTGACTCGTTATTTTGGCTTGCGAAATGACGATTTTTGCGCCAAAAATCGCCGCTACCCAAAGCCAAAATAACAAGACAAACAATTGCACAAACTCGGTATCCATGAACACATCGACTTATTTTCACTTAAAATGTCAAAGGAGCACCAAATTCTACAATATAGGCAAACCAAAAAATACATAATCTCAACGAAATGCATTTTAAACCAAACAATAAAATAACATAAAAGAGGAAAAACATGTTACAGTCTTAATTATTACCTAATATTCAAATATTCCACTTACCTGATGATTTTCGAGTTCGCTTTCATACACCCAGAGCCACATAAAAATCAAAATATCAATCATACTCAAATGTCTTTTTTTCAAACCAGGTACTCTTTCTGATTGAATGCTTCACATAGTGACCATCTGAACCTTTCTTCCTACAAACCCATTCAAATCCATCTAAACGATTTTTACGTTCGACTAGACGCATATCCTTACTACGTACAGGACACTTATAATGGCCCCTAAGTAAACCTTTATTTACACACCAGTCAATTAAAGCTCTTTTCCCCTTTCGCTTCAAAACGTACAGAAACTTCAAATTACAAATTAATCTTACTACATTCGGCCATTCTACCGTCTAAAGAATCAAACCAACACACACCACAAAAACGCTTACAAAACATCCAATGATTCAAAATTTCCCAGAATCATGCACCCAATTACGTCACAATAGGGTTTCCATAACATTCAACTACTCAGGCTACCATAAATGAAACAACAACTTGGCGATAAATGAAACACAACTTCGCCATAATACAAGGGGTACCTTAAAGTCTACTCTACCCAAGAATGGGATAACTTAACTTTCCTAATCTAGCCAATATCTGGAATCGAACTTCCATCCCTTATGATGAAAAGTGATCAACTTTTGAATGCTGTTCGTTGTTTCCTTACGCCTACGATTAGTTTTCAAATATTAAATAAAATATAATGAAGTAAGCAAGCAAAAATAAAGCCAAACAATTTTTTAAACGTCACCAAGATGCAAAAATTAAAAGAAAAAAAATGGTAGACAATGATTTTATTTACGAAATTTCACGAAAATGTTTCGGTGTACGATCACTTTTATGACGTGTTTTATTTATGCCTCCTTACATTTTCAATTTTAGGAAAAGAAAATAAATCAGTATTAAAAACTAAAAAGTTTGGTTTGATTCAAAGTCGGTGAAAGTTTACAATTAGGTGCCACTTGTTTTTTGGCGATTCTTTTTTGACGTCAAGATCGGCGCTAGGAAGACACAATTTCAAAACGGACGCTACACAAAACCAAAATAAAAAACCAAAGAATTGCATAAACTCTGTATCCATGTACACATTGATCTGTTTTCACTTAAAAAAACATCCCAGAATTGCACAAACTAGGGATTGCACACTGTTTAAATTTGTCCGTGTACACATCAATCTATTTTTATTTTAAAAAAATCAGGAGGCTAAAGCAAAGTTGCACTATTGTGGTAACCAGAAATAGGATTTCATCGCCAAAGTTTTACAAAAAATTGTTGCTAATCGAAGGGGCACCCAATTCTACACTAGAGTGCTTTTTAGAAGAGCAAAAAATAAAAAGCTTAGGCTTTTCTTCTCAAAATCAATGGTAAATAAACCCAAAGTATACTAGAATCATGTCTGATTTGCAGATGAAAGCAAATTTAACGTTTTTGATTTTGATGGGCATATTATTGTATGGAGGAAAAAAAATTAGCTTAATCCCAAGACCTTGGTTGGTACAGTTAAAGCTTGGTGGTGGAGGTGTTCTTGTGTAAGCGTGCATGTCACCGCCAGGATTAAATAATTTAGTATTTATTGATGACACAGTGAACCATGATTTTTATTTAAATATTTAGAAAGATAATTTAAAATTATCCTCCCAAAATTTGGTTACTGGAAACAACTTTATTTTTTATCGGGATAACGATACAGCCCTCTGATGTTCACCTTTTGGGTGTCTATAATTGCCCAAAAAATTCTGAAAACACCACCTCGGTCACCACATTTAAACCCAACAGAACACATTGCGAGATAATTAGAGGTTAGAGTACAAAGACACACGATTAAAACAAAAACTGAACTAAAAACAGTAATGATGGAAGAATGGAGGAACATTGATGCAGATATTATAAAAAAAAATGGTGAACTCTATTCTTAGACACTTGAAAACTGCCTTAAATACTACAGTATGTACTATAAAATACTAAATGACAGAAATACTACAATATTTACTAATATGTGCAGATTTCTTTAAAGCATACAAAGACTTTTGTGAGGTAACTTTTCTGTTACTTTTTTAGTATTGATTTTCCAAAAACAAAGTTTTAATAAGTTCATAAAATAATTAATGCAGTTTTGCTAAGAGAAATTTACAGATAATATTTAACAAGTCTCATTCTAAAATATTAATTCTTATTAATAAATAAAGCAATATTTGAATGAAACTTGTAAATGTCCGAACACTTTTGCGAACCACTGTATCTGCACATATTAGTAAATATTGTAGTATTTCTGTTAGTTGGTATTTTTGTAGAGGTTTTCTTTCATAAAGAACCATGTATATATAAACATATGTAAGTCAAATTTAATGTTTTAAACATGATATTTATTGCAAACCATGTTTCTAAGCATATGTAAGTTAAATTTAGCTAAAAACTAGCTGATTAAAAATATTAAACACATGTAAGATAAATTTAGCACGTTAAACATGGTGATTTGTACAGTTAAATTCAGTTAGCAGAAAAGCATATGCAGTTAAAAATTAGCTGGTTCAGCATGGTATTCAATACAATTCAGTTTGGTAGAAAAACATGATAAAAAGTAAAGTGAATGTTAGTATTATTATTGAAATATATTTCTAATTCATATATTATAAATGAGTTTTAAATAATTTATATACTTATATATAGGTAGGTAGGTTACGGAGGACTGGAACGCCTGGTGTCTAATAGAGGTAAACAGGCATGTGTTCCATGCCCTCCTCTAACTACGGCAAAAGCCTCCTGGAGCCACACGAGGCTGCACCAGGAGATTATTGAGGTTGTCAAAGGGAAGTACATGGCCTTACAAGGGCATTAGTAGGACTGTATTACAGATTGAAGAGGCAAGTTGTGGTGTTACAGATAGTAGGTAGTTAAACTAAAAATACTTGGATAATAAGAAGTATGCATAAAAAGATATAAAAATGCATAGGCAACAATACACAAAGCACAATGCGTAAAATGCACAAACAGAGAACACAAAAAAAAACAGGTACATACACATAGTCACTTAAGGCACAAAAAGACAAATGGAGTACATGAAGTCACATGAAAGCTGGAGCACAATGTTAGTGTAAGGCAGTTCTGTTGTGTATAAATACAGGTACATCTTGAATGATGAATGATGAGTTCATGAATACTCATGTGTGCAAAGAGTGCAGTTAGATTGCTAAGGCGTTGATTATTGTAGCATTGCTAAGAACATAGATATAAAAAAAAAAATAATAAAAAAAAAAACCACTGTTAGAAAGGCACGAGGATGTTGAAGCACTAATTATTGGGCAGTGCTCCAGCAATGAGTGCACCGTGAGGCACGCAAGCATTCACTAACACTGCATAAGAAGATGCCTGTTCACATGCTGTTGAAAGGATTACACACGTATCATTATGGAGGCATAACACATCTCACTAAGGAGATGTGCAATAATTCTTTTTCTCAAATTGTTATGGTCTCGAAAAGGCCGCCTTTTTTTTTTTTTTTTTTTTTTTTTTTTTTCAAAAACTTGTGCCATTTAAAATATATTGCCGGAGATTTATTACCCTGAAGGGATATATAATCTTGCATTTAAAATTTGTGCGAGTCTTGCCATTATGTTTAACTTCACGTTGAAATAGCTATTTGGAGTTACATAATCAGCTAGTATCATCATTGTTGATGGTGTCTGTGTTTACTGGGTTCTTTGCAAAAGTGCTTCCTTGTTTTAGGTTACCTTGCAGCATTTATAATAGCTTTCAAACATCTGTGCATAGAGTTCACCAGTTATTATAATTTTTTTTTTTTTTTTTTAGTGTAATATCTACATCAATCTTCCTCCATTTTGCCATCATTCCTGTTTTTAGTTCAGTTTTCATTTTTATTTTGTGTCTTCACGCTCTAACCTCTAATACTTTCCAGATCCATTTTGTCAGGTTTTAATATAGTAGTGACTTAAGTGGTGTTTTTAGAACTTATACACAAATATAGAAATCCAAAAGGTGAACGTTGAGG